CCATAACCTCTGCCTCCCGGGTTCAAGCAGTTCTCCTGCCTCAGCCTCCCGAGTGGCTGGGATTATAGGCACCTGCCACCATACCCAGCTAATTTTTTTGTATTTTTAGTAGAAACGGGGTTGTACCATGTTGGCCATGCTGGTCTTGAATTTCTGACCTCAAGTGATCTGCCCACCTTGGCCTCCCAAAGTGCTGGGATTACAGGTGTGAGTTGCTGTGCCTAGCCCTAAAATCTTTTGTTTTTATTTATGCAACTGTTATATGTTGATACAGGTAGATCTAGTAATTTCATTTTAAATATTCTGTAGTATTTCATTAAATGAACATCCTAACTTCTCAATGATAGGCACCTCTTCAGTATTATAAATATAAGGCAGCATCCTTGAGCAAAGCTTCTTGCAAGTGTATCTGCTTAGAAATAGCGTTGCCAGGCTGTGGGTGTGTATTCTTAAGTTTGATCTAGAAGATTGCGCTCCAAAATGGTTCTATCAACTTATTTGAGTAGTGTGCGTTCTTGTTTCCTCATACCACCTCTCTGGCTTCTTAACCTTTACCCATCTGGAGAATGGGAAGGGAGCTTTTTCTCTCACTTACCATACTTCTAATAAGGTTGATTTTTTTTTTTTTTTTTTTGTAGAGACAGGGTCCTGCTGTGTTGCCTTGTCTGGTCTCAAACTCCTGGCTTCAAGTGGTCCTCCTGTCTCAGCCTCCCAAACTGCCGGGATTAGAGGCATGAGGCACTGCACCTGGCCAAACAGGCACATTTTTAAAAGTCTTCTTGTTTGTTGTTGTTGTTGTTGAGATGGGTCTTGCTGTGTCACCCAGTCTGGAGTGCAGTGGCATGGCTGCAGCTCACTACATTCTCAACCTCCTGGGCTCAAGTGATCCTCCCACCTTAGCCTCCCAAGTAGCTGGGACCACAGGTATATGCCACCATGCCCAGCTAATTAAAAAAAAAAACATATTGTAGATGGGATTTTGCCATGTTGCCTAGGCTGGTCTTAAATGCCTGAACTTAAGCAGTCCTCCCTCCTTAGCATCCTGAATTGCTGGGACTGCAGGAATTTGTCACTACGCCTGGTGAATTTTTAATTTTTTGTAGAGATGGGGGTCTTAATATGTTGCCCAGGCTGGTCTTGAACTCTTTGACTCAAGTGATCCATCTACATATGCTTCAGCCTCCCAATATACCGGTTCAGGCATGAGCCACCATGCCTAGCCTAAAAGTCTTAATTCACTGTTTGTTTGATTGTCACTAAGGGCTTGTGATTCACCTTTTTTTTTTTTGAGATGGAATCTTGCCCAGTCGCCCAGGCTGGAGTGCAGTGGCGTGACCTCTGCTCACTGCAAGCTCTGCCTCCTGGGTTCATGCCATTCTCCGGCCTCAGCCTCCCTAGTAGCTGGGACTACAGGCGCCCGCCACCACGCCCAGCTAATTTTTTTTTGT